ACAGATCTGAACAGATAGTTCTCAAATGAAGGAATACAAATGGCCAACAGTTATATGAAAATAATGCTCAACCTCACCTAATCACCAGATAAATGCAAATCTAAACCACAATGTGATATCATCTAATCCCACTTACAATGGCCTTTATCAAAATGACAGATAATAACAAATGCTGGTCAGAATGCAGAGAAAGGGGAACCCTCATATATGTTGGTGGGAGTGTAAATTAGAATGACCACTATGAAAAAGAGTATGGAGTTTCCTCCAAAAACTAAAAATAGAACTACATATGACCCAGCAATTAACTATTGGGTATATAGCCAAAAAAAGAAAATCAATATATCAAAGAGATATCTGCACTCCCATGTTTATTGTAGCATTAGTAACAATAGCCAAAATATGTAATGAACCTAAGTGGACATCAATGGATGACTGTATAAACTGTGTTTTATATATATAAGACGAAATATTATTCAGCCACAACAATTAACGCAATCCTGTCATTTGTAGCAACATAGATAAAACTGGAGGTCGTTATGGTAAGTGAAATAAGCCAAGCACAGAGAGACAAACATGGCATAGTCTCACTTATATGTGGGAGATACAAAAGTAGATATAATGAAGATAGAGAGTAGATTGATGGTTACCAAGGCCCAGAATTGTTAAGAGTGAAGAGGATGAACAGAAATTGAATAGTGGGTACAAGTATACAGTTAAATAAAAGAAAAGGCATTGTGTTTCATAGTTGAGTAGGATGAGACAATCTATTGTAGATTTCAAAACAGCTAAAAGAGAATAATTCAAATGTTCCCAGCATAAAGAAAAGTAAGGTGATGTATAGCCCAACAAACCTGATTTTATTGTATTAATCTCTGTCCAGATTAATACACACTACTTGTTGTATATAGTAGTAATACACACTACTATAAAAAACTGTCCAAACTGGGTAATTTATAAAGAAAAAAGACATAGTTGACTCACAGTTTGGCAGGGGTGGGGAGGCCTCAGGAAACTTATAATCATGACAGAAGGCAAGTCTTCACAGGGTGGCAGGTCAGAGAATGAGTGCCAAGTGAAAGGGGAAGCCCCTTACAAAACCATCAGATCTCATGAGAACTCATTCACTATCACGAGAACAGCATGGAGGAAATCGCTCCCATGATTCAATTACCTCCCACTAGGTCCCTCCCTCAGCACGTGGGGATTATGGGAACTGAAATTCAAGATGAGATTTGGGTGGGGAAGCAGCCAAACCATACTATGAATGTATCAGATTATCACATTTATCCCCCAAATATGTAGATCTCTTACATATTAATGAAAAAATTTAGAAAATATAAAGTATATAATAATCATATGAATACATGGCAATAAATGATACTTTATGAGCCTAGGGAGGACACCATATTTGTTATGTTTGTTTTTTAATTATATACTGGTAGGGGGTGCTTCTTACACATTCATTCCCTGACTTTACTTTTTTGCAATAAACTTTAAAGGTGCACTATGCATCTTTTATGTCTATGGCCACATACACACACCAGAGAAAAAGTGTGACGTTAGAAACAAAACTAGACATTTTAAGGAGGTTTGATGATGGACAGCAAGGTGTGGATATTGGAAGACTCATGTTTACCACTAGGATAAGGAGTAAACCTCCATCCTCACATCACCCACCACTACTATGACCTCTGTCACTCACAGATTCACCAAAAATTAAGTAATTATCTTGTTTTTATTAATCTTTCTGTAATGTATATATAGTTCACATATATTTCAGTGTTTAATATTAGAAGTATTTTGATCTTTATTTAGGAGTTTGATGATGTTTTTGTGACCTGAAATAAGCCTTAGGAACTTAACTATTATTTCTATCAATTAGTCTAATGTAAAATCTCTTTTGTTATGCCATTTCATTTAAATTCACAGTTTCCAAAAATCTATTGATGAGGTTAAATGAGGACTTACAGTACACTGCTTTAGTGGGTCATTAGTTAAAGCCTGCTTCCAGGGATTAATTTTCCAATATTTCCAACCTGGGCCTTGCTAGTATAGTGGACTCTGGTAATCAGATACAGCCCTTGGACGATAAAACACTGAGCACTGTAGTGGTGCAGATCAGATGAAATGGGTGGGTATCCAATAGCATAGGTTATAGCTCTAAATTTTATTCACTTCATATTGTGTTAACATATTTAATAAGAAATGGTTGGAAGCCATGGAAGAATGGTCTTTAAATTTTTCTTAATCATTTTTCCTTGTTTCTAAAGAAAAGTAAAATTTTAAAAACAAATTAATAGAGAATAAAATAATTTTGCTATGCTTTTGTTTTGTGAAATCAATACTCTTTGAGGTTTGCTACATTGCTCTACGTTTTCAATTATTAAAAAAGCAAATTACTATTGCCAGTATTTTTTTCTATAATTGAAAAAAAAAAAAAGCTTTTAAGTAGAAGCCCTTAAATAAAAGTGAGATTCCATTAGATAAATTTATTAAAATGACTTTTGTTAATCTTTCTTATTAGTTTCATGGCAAATTATATATTTGAGAAATTGGGAAAAATTAACTCACCTCCTTCAGATTATCTGCACCACCTTCTGTACCCACATTTGCTGTATGTCCAGGCAGAGGTCTCTTTATGAATAAGCTTCACACTAAAGAAAGAAAAAGACTATTGAGGTAAATTACTTATCTGGTTTTAGATCTTCCTTTGCAATTGGATATCATGGTCATTTGGCTCAGTAGTAAATGGTTATGATCCCAACAGAATTTCTTCACAATTTTCTGGGAGCTGCAGGATCCCCATTTACTTTGCCAAAGGCTTTTGAATCCAGCTTTCCCAGCGAAAGGAATTCTCAGGATACCTAAAGTCATATTACTTGGATTAATTTTTTTTTTCCCATTTATTTATTTTATTGCATTTTAGGTTTTGGGGTACATGTGAAGAACATGCAGAATTGTTGCATAGGAACACACGTGGCAGTGTGATTTGCTGCCTTCCTCCCCATCACCTACATCTGGCATTTCTCCCCTTGCTATCTCTCTCCAGCTTCCCACCCCCCGCCGTCCCTCCCCTATTTCCCCCCAACTCATCCCAGTGTGTAGTGCTCCCCTCCCTGTGTCCATGTGTTCTCATTGTTTAACACCCGCCTATGAGTGAGAACATGCGGTGTTTGATCTTCTGGTCTTCTGTCAGTTTGCTGAGAATGATGGTTTCCAGGTTCATGGACTTGGATGTTGCTTCACTCATGCTAATTCCCATTTCAAATTTAATTATCATTTTAGAAACTTGCTTGTGTTTCTCTAATTACTTTAACTCTGCAAAATGTCAGATTATCTACCTCCCCACACTGTGTTTTAGAATTTGCTTATATCAAGAAATGAAAGTATTGCTCTGGAATTCAGAAGCAAAGGAGACACAATTGCTAAAACTAACCAGATATCAGTATCATGTTATTTGTAAAGATGTAATTTTTTTTTGCTGTTCTGTTTACAATTGTACTCTCAGCATCTAAACAGTCTACACGTACAGAAGCAAAATAACTAAGCACTTTTGAAAGTACTTACATGATTTCTTAATTTTTATAACATAATCCACTCTGAATAATTCTGAGTTCTTTTAATAAATTTGGTATGAAAAGGTATAAAATGTGTCCTTATGTGCTGGCATTGTGGTACTGTTCTAAGACTTGGCACTATGGAAGCAGTGAAAAAAGCAAGGAAGTAAGGACTGCTTCCATCAAAGGGCACAACCCTGCTAGATACCCTTTAAATTTGAATATGATGATTTGGAGGACCATGGGAAATGCCTTAAAGAAATAGATTACTACAGATAGACTAATTTTAGGTCAATCCTTGACATTAGTTTCCTTTCTTTCAAAATGATTCTCGCTATTTTGAATGTCTATATAAAACAAATATACGAGTATATATAAATATATAAAACTATAAATATTTTAAAAATAATATTTTATGTCCATATGGCACTTTTATTCTATTTGATTTTACAGTATTCTTCATGATGCTATAATGCTATTTGCAGGAGATAAACAATGATCTTATCAATAGAAATATAACCTTCAGAAAGAGTTAACAGAAACATAGCTTTTTTACAAAAACGTTTTCCATTAAAAAAAAAAAATCTTTTAATGCTGATAAAATAAAAAAGGAAATACAGAAGACACATGCTAAAAACACATTATTTGTTATACAGCAGGACCTTAGGATGGTCTAGGGTCCATCAGAAGTCTTCAAAACAGTCAGAAAATGATTACTATCTGAGCCTTTGTCAGTAGAACACTAAGTAAAAACACATGATTACCTAGTTCAATTTTAATAAGCAATATTAACCACCTGTGTCCCCCAATGGAATATTATGTAAATTTTAAATGAATATAAGTATATATAGTGACATATAATATGTATTATAGGACATGTTCTGAATTTTAGCAACTAAATGTCTACATAGATGCAAATATTACAGTTTTCTGAGAGGTATAGAGATAGAACCTAAATAATTCCAAATTTAATGCAAATTAGAGCTGACTTATGCCTTAGGCACATTAGGCATAGTGCCTAGGGCCCACAATAAGTTTAGAGGCCCATGAAATTGTTTTAATTGCCTTTAAAGTCAGAAGAAAAACATCAAGTTTTAGAGTCTATCAAAATGTTACTTTTTTCTCACAACAGAAAAATATAACATTTTTAGAGCCCACAAAAATCTCCTAAAATTTGCCTAAAACAGAAAAAACATTGAAATATTTTAAATTACATCAAAAATAATTTTAAGTGTTGATATTATGATGGCTGAGGGTCCCACAAACATAAAAATGTCTAAGGCCCACAAAAGTTATTTTGTAGTCATTCCAACATCAAATGAATGTGAATAGAGAATTTTTTTAGTTTCAATAAGCAAATTTCAAAACATTTTTGATATCTTCGTTTTCTGAGAATCACATTTAGACAAAAGAAAATGCTATTGATTAGAAAGATGAGCCTACCTTCATACAGTGCTATAGAAAGCATGCAACTGCCAAGAGAGCAGCCGCACAACAGCCAGCTTGGAAGTCACGTTGACCCTAGCTGGTTTCTTTCCAGTTTCCCACAGCCCCTGGACACTGGAGTGCTTAGCTGTCTCTGGGGACTTGTACTGGCTGGCGTGTTCCTGAGGCTTTTTATATTATTGCAACACGAAATGTGTGTAGATACTCATTCTTGCACTATGTTACTGGAAATTACACAAAATTCAGGATGCCACTATGCACTTTGAAACTGACCCTGACAGAAACAAACACTCCCAGGTCTCTTAACAGATTTTCAGCAGGTTAAAATTTAACCTAATTTAGTATAACTACTTTGTTAAATGTACACACCTCTGAATTTGATTATTTTTATTTGAAGTTCTAATTTTATAACAGTTATATTTGAAATAAACTTATATAGAAAAATTGAAAGAAGGGTCTAAGAATTCCAGAATATTTTTTGCACAGATTTTCCATTATTTCCTAAGAACAAGAAAATTATCTTATAAAAGCAAAATACAGCTATCAAAACTAGGAAATTAATGGTGATGCAATGCTAATACCTAATCTATAGATTTTATTCAAATTATGACAATTATCCCAATAACATCCTTTTCTTTGACAGGTGGATAAATGGATAAATAGACAGATAAAATGGTTTCTGAATCCAATGTAGGTTCAAGTATTGCATTTAGTTGTCATGTTTCTTTAGTCTTCTTTATTCTGGGACAATTTCTCAATTTGAATTTATCTGATGTTTCCTTATGATTAGGTCCATTTTGGGCAGCAATATTCCAGGGTGCTATTGTGTACCTCTCAGTACATTTTGTTATATGTCCAATACGATTTGGTTCTGTGTCCCCACCCAAATCTCATGTCGAATAGTAATTCCCAGTATTGGGGGGAGGTACCTAGTGGGAGGTCATTAAATCATGGGTGTGGATTTCCCCCTTCCTGTTCTCATGATAGTGAGTTATCATGAGATCTGATGGTTTAAAAGTGTGTGGCATTTCCCCCTTCGCTCACTCTCTCTCCTGCCACCACGTGAAGATGTGCTTGCTTCCCCTTCACTCTTCTACCATAATTATAAGCTTCCTGGGCCTCTCAAGCCCTGCTTCCTGTACAGCCTGCAGAACTGTGAGTCGGTTAAACCTCCTTTCCTTATAAATTAGCCAGCATCAGGTAGTTCTTTATAGTAAACTACAACTTGGAATACAACCTCTATTTCCAAATACACAAAAAATAATTAAAAGAATTTCTCCCCAGGAAGTAGGACATTAAAATATGTTTAGGCCCTAGAAACAAAAAAAAAAAAAAAAGAATTGCTGAATATATTAGTTTGCTAGGGCTGCCATAACAAAATACCACAGACTTGGTGGCTTACACAACAGGAATTTATTTTCTCACAGTTCTAGAGGCTGTAAGTCCAAGATCAAGGTGTCAATAGGTTTGATTTTTTCTGAGGGCTTTCTCCTTGCCTTGAAGACAGTTGCCTTCTCATTGTGTCCTCACAAGCAATGGTCCTCAACCTTTTTGGCATCAAAGACTAATTTCATGGAAGACTATTTATTTATCGACTGGGGTGAGGGGATGGTTTACGGATAATTCAAGGGCATTACATTTATTGTATACTTTATTTCTATTATTATTACACTGTAATATATAATGAAATAATTATATGATTCACCATCATGTGGAACCAGTGGGAGCCCTGAGCTTGTTTTCCTGCAACTAGACAGTCCTGTCTGGGGATGATGGGAGACAGTGACACCTGAAGTGTGTTGCTTACATCCAGTCTACTTTGTAATCTCATTTTGGTTGCTGTCACTGCAGAAAACCCTGCTTCACAAGGATAGGATGTTGAAAATGGAAGCAGGGTTTTCAGCACTTTTGTGGCAATCCTGGGATATTTCACCTTGACTTTAATCCACAATGTACGGAGATTTGAAGTTGTCTCAAACATACTTTTAAGGCCATTGTCATTTGCCATATCAAGTAGTTGATCGTCTTCTAAACTGACAAAGTCAATTTACTTGGCTTATTTACAAATGGGTCACAGATTCATTCCTTCCCAGTTCTAGGGTCTTTTGTAGTTAGAAAGTAATGCTTAAACTCTTTTGCTTAAACTCTTTTTGAAAGCTGAGATAGATGATCATGCACCAGCTGGGAGAAAAAAGGCCATGGCTCAGTCATTTTCAAAATCTTTGCTAATTTTGAAACTCGTCAACAATTTCAATGTTCACTTTTTGCCCCCATAATTCCACTTTGGCTTTGAATGCAGCCCCTCTGTCTGCCAGCTTGAACACAGTTGTCATTCTCCCCTGAAATGAAGGATTGAGTTCACTGAGCAGGTTGAATATGTCACACAAGCAAGTTTTGCAACCCATTCTATGTCACTGAAATGTGCTGTCAGTGGTGTCTATTTACCTAAAAGAAATCTCTGGAGTGGCTCTAGTAACTCAAACATTCAAGCCAGTGATCTATCTTTAGAAAGCCATCTCACTTCTGTGTACAAGAGAAGACTTGTGTGCTCTGTGTCCACCTGCTTGCAGAGGTGCATGAACAGACATCAGTTAAGGGCATGCACTTTAATGTGGTTAATAATTTTAATCACATCTTGCAAAACGTTTTTAAATTTAGGTGACAATTTTTGGCCAGCTGACATTCTCTATGGATGACACAGTGTGAAGTTTCACATTCAGAAGTGACCTCAATGACCCAAGTAGTGAAACCAGAAAGCTGTCCAATCATGGCAGCTGGTCTGTCCATGCATATACCAACCCGAAATGACCAATTGAGCTTTCCTGACATGTACTCATTCAAAGACTCGAATAGTTCTGAAGCTACGGTGTTAGTTGGCAACAAAAGTGCACATAACATATCTTCATGCACATCTTCTGAAAAATATATTGCACAAAAATAAGCACTGTTGCCTTGTTATCAACAATAGTAGACTTGTCAACCCAGATTGTGTACCACAGTGGCTCATTTACTCCCTATAACAATTGTGCCTCAGCATTCTCTACTATTTCATCAAATCATTTATGTATGGTATTTGTCAAATGAGAAACACATGGCACTTTTTAAACTGCAGCCTCTCCTAAAAGTTCATGACATATGTCCTTAGCAGCAGGCAGGATCAACTCTTCACCAACAGTGAAGGACTTCTTAGCTTTACGAGTGTGGTTAGCCACTACAAATGATGCTGTTGGTACAGACACATTTGATGAAATGGTGACCTTCAGTAATTGCTTCTGTTCTTCGTGCTCATGTTGTTTTTTCCTTTTGAAAAACTTCAAAGGCTTGTTTAATGCAGGGTTCTTGGTCTCCCTGTGGTGAAGCAGTTTTGAAGGTTTCACAACTTCATTGGATAGCCAGTTGCCACATATTATACAAAGAGAACTTGGAGAATGTGAATCACCTGGTGCAATGAACCTGTAATTTAAGTAGGACTCATGGTATTTTCTTTTAAATGCAGCTTTCTTTTTGTTGGCAGTATTAGAGTCATCTGCTGTCTCATCATTGGCTCTTCCCCCTTTTCAAAGAAATTCCAATGATCATTGTTTTTATTCATTTTGGCTAGGGTTAGCATGTAGGCTTACCAAACCTGTGATTGAGACAAGTGTGCAGTACAGGAAAGAGATGCAGATGGAAGTGGTAAATCAAATAATGGGCAGGATACACATGGACTAAAATAAGTGTTGGATTCTGACTTAGAGCCTGCCACCAAATGCAGCTGTACAATTGAAGTACATCAATTCGCTTGCCACTATAAAGCCACCCAACAGATGCAGCTTTATTATCACCTGCCACTCACTGATAGGGTCTTGATATGAGTCTGCAGGCAACTAATTTATTATGGTCTCTGTGCAGTCAAACCTCTCTGCTAATGTTAATCTGTATTTGCAGCCACTCCTCAGAGCTAGCATCACCACCTCAGCTCCACTTCAGATGATCAAGCATTAGATTCTCATAAGGAGCATGCAACCTGGATGTCTCTCATGTGCAGTTCACAATAGTGTTTGTGTTCCTATGAGAATCTAATGCCACCACTGATCTGACAGGAGGCAGAGCTCAGGAGGTAATGTGAGCAATGGGGAGTGGCTGTAAATAGAGATGGAGCTTTGCCCACTCACCTGTGGCTCATCTCCTGCTGCATGGCACGGCCCCTAACAAACCATGGACCGCTATCAGTTCTTGGCTCAGGGGTTCGGGACCTCAGTTCACATGGCCTTTTCTCTGAGTGTATGCATCTCTGGTGTCTTTTCCTTTTCTTATAATGACACCAATCATGTTAGATTAAGATCAATCCATGTGACCTCGTTTAACCTTAACTACCTCTTTAAAGGCCCTATCTCTAAATACAGTCATATTCTGAGGTGTACTGAGGATTCAGACTTTAATGCATGAATTTACAGGGAAAGCAATTCAGACTGTAATGTGAATGAAATGCTTTTGCTCTATTCCTACTGTTGTTTATTTTGTTTTATAAGAAAAGTCCCAGTTTCCGGTATAATGTGCACTGGTGAAGAGCCTTTGAGGTAGTTACAATTAATAAGTACTTTATTTTTATCTAGCACCCATGAACAGCTGAGGCATATGTATCTTTTGTGTGTGAGTCAGAGGAGGTCAAAAGAGGGTTAAAATCTATATTAATGTGCTCACTAGACAAGAAAAGCAAACATTTATTCTATAAGTGTTTAGTTTTTTTATATGTTTAACTTCTGATATTTTACTAAACTTAATTATTTGCTCATTAACTTCATAATGTTAATATAATCAGTGTTATTCATAATTTCACGAATACGTTTTCAACATCCAATGTACCAAGCACTGTGGTAGGAGTTATAAGTACCACAGTAACTAGGCTATATAGGAAAGACCTGTAAGGAAGATATATAAATAAGGTATTTCTTCCTTTATAGATTTTTCAATCTAGTGAGGATATGAACAGGCAAGTAAAATGTAGTCATCAGAGGGTTATAACATGGATATGTATAGGGTCTATGGGAGCAAATGGACAGGACTTTGTGTTTGTTTGGTGGGAGTTGATAGAGAAACTGAGAATTAGGGTTGAGCATAGAGTTCTTCAGACAAAAGCTATGGGTGAGAA